ACACCTCCTGGTTGCATAGGCTGGTGTGCTTCTTCCATGTGGGCTTTGTTGCTTCTGAGCTAGATGGCCGCTTGATTACCTTCAAGCCTTTAAGTCTGTCTACTTCTAAAACCTTTTTTATCACCTTAAAAGGAAACTTCACATCTATTCCTTACTTTTTATTTTCTTTTTCCTTCAGCTCCTGGCACTAGTCTGCGTTCTGCTTTTATAGATTTGCTTATTCTGAAGGTTTTCATGTAAATATAATTGCACATTATATGCCCTTTGTAGCTGGCTTCTTTACTTAGGGAGCCTTACAGGCATAGTGGATTGAATTTTGGGGTGCTAACCACAGGTCTGCAGTTTGAATCCACCAGCCGCTCCATGGGAGAAAGAAGAGGCTTTCTGCTTATTCCATAAAGAGTTAGTCTTGGTTTGAAACCCAAAGGGGCAGTTCTACTCTGTCCTGTAGGGTCACTAGGAGAATTAATAGCTTTTTTTTTTCAGTCTGTACTTAACATAACATTTTTAAGGTTCATCCAAGTTGTAGTATGTGTAGTATTTCATTCTTGTTTATGGCTGAACACTGGGGCATTGATAGATACACCACAGTTTGTTTATTCATTCACTTGTTGATGGAACTTTTTAGTTGTTTCGGCTTTTTGGCTATTGCAAATATAGTCAAGCATTGCATAACATATCCAAAAATATGTTACGAAATAGAACATTATGGGATTTGGGTGTTCTGTGCACATTGTGCCATTGTAGCCTGGTACTGTTTTTTTCTTTAAGCATCGTAAGAAGCATCCTGTCTTAGCAGTGATTCTCAGAAGTGCTGATCAGGGTTCACGTCTGTGTTTGGTCTTCAGACCACATCATTAGCAGTTGCTTAGTGCCCGAAAGAGGTCCCACTCACATTGGCCCTGTAGCTTCTGTAAAGATTTGCAGTTTTGGAAACTCTATACAGCATCACTAGGAATTGGAATTTACTCCATGGGCGTGGGTTTTGGTCGGTTTTCAGTGGAGTTCTTCTTACTTTAAACAGTTTGGAGAAGTTTTTTCTTTGTCATTTAGGGCTTGAAGCACCTACTGCTTTAGATCAAAGACTAAAGCCTTCAGTGTGAATTTTGTCTAATGGGTATCTGATCATTGTATCATGTCTTTTTATTAATAAGTACATTTAAAACTTTAAAATAACTAACTGAACAAGGAAACCTTCATTATACATCCTTCTGACAACGGAAAGAAAGGAAGGTTTTTATTTTATTTTGCATCTTGTTATCTGTCCAAGTGTTCTCCGCAGGGCTCGCCTTCTTGATAATCTTATGAGACTGGTTACACATCAGACCAATGGAAAGAGCTTTCTGCTTGGGGCAGCTACTAATGAAGATGGAAGAGTCCCTGTACCAAAAAGCAGTGTTTGGCATTCAACACGTTCAGAAAGTAGCAAAAAGTAGCAAATGATCAAGCATCAACAATATTGCAAGAAGTCCAAACTACACTGAAGACGTTTGTGAAAAACATGGCTCTCGGAAATGGAGAGATGATCAATGAAGTTGTCTCAACAAATAGATGCAACATTGGAACATTTTACCAGTCTGTGCTAAGTAATTTGGAAGACTGCCAGCTGACCAACCTACTGGGGAAAAAAAAAATCCACATTTGTGTCCATTCCAAAGAAAGATGATCCAACAGAATGTGGAAATTATCGAACAATATCATTAATATCACATGCAAGTAAAGTTGTAAATGATTGTAGAAGTACCTTGACAAGGAGGATTATGGATTACACCTCAACATAAAATGAAAATCCTCATAATGGGACCAGAAAGCAACGACATGATAAATGGAAAAAAGATTGACCACCAAAGACCTCTTTAAAGTGTTCAAAAGACTTTGAGAGCGCTCAGGTGTGCCTGGCCCAAGCCATGGTATTTTCAGTGGCCTCATATGCATACCGAAGCTGGGCGGTGAATAAGACCAAAGAAGAATCGATGCCTTTGAATGGTGGGGTTGGTGAAGAATATTGACTGTAATGTGGACTGGGAGGAGAACGAGCAATCTGTGTTGGAAGAGGCATAGCTAGAATGCTCCTCAAAGCTGGATGTCCTTTGGGCTTGTTATCAGGAGAGTCCAGTCCCTGAAGAAAGACATTGTGCCTGGCACATGTCAGTGAACAAGAAGGCCTCTTGAGGCGGTGGGTTGACTCAGTCCTGCAACAGTGCGCTCAAACGTAGCACCAGTGGTGGTGCTGAAGGACCGACCTGGGAGTCCGCACTGACTGTCACACCTAACCACGTTAAACGCTTGGTGGTTCCATGCGTCCCTCTGGTTAGCTTCAGCCTCACTTTTTGTATACAGTGAATGGTTGAGACCGCTCTGCTTATTATCCCTAGCCCCAGTATCGATTCCTCCTTTTGCCTGCTTTTGTCCATGGTTGTGGTACGTCTTCAACTTTAAGAGTACATATGCACAAGGTAGCTCGAAGCCAGGGGTTTTAGATGAGTCTTCGATTGGGTCTAAGTTTCAGTTACCTGATGGTGATTTGTAGAGAACTGTGAAGACAAGAATTTTACAGTCAAATTGCAAGTTGGGGGAAAAAGAGAACTATGGCTGATTATTACCGTCACCCATAATCCCAGAGTAGTGGTGAGGTGTATGCAAATCAGATTTTGGGCATTTTGGCTCTAGACTAGGGGTTGGCAATTTCCGCTCAAGAGCTGTATGTGGCCCTGAATGAAAACAGAAGCATCTTAAAGGATATTTTTCAGATAATGGTGATTTCCTTTGTTTTTCAAAGTATACTTATGGCTGTAGTTTCAAGGTTCATCCATCCTCCATAGCTTCTGGTATACCATAGTAATTTTTAAATTGTTGTGAGGGACAGGATTGGCTCTTGCATCTCAAAAGTTTTCCCAGCGCTGCTCTAGACTGTTACAAAGAAGGAAATCTAAAATGAGACATAGAGGAAACATCAAGAGTCAATTTCCACGCTTGGGTTTTCTTGTTTTACTCATTCCAGCCTGCTTCAAGTGATTTCCTAATAGGATCATTTTCTTAACTTCTCTCCTGTCTAGATAACCCCTCCTCATAGGATAGAGATTGTTACCTCCCTCTCCCCCTACCCCACCCCCAGCCCAAGTTTCTGATAGCTCTTCTTATTTGCCTGCACCACCTTGTGGGCGTGAAGACTGAAGCCATGGGTAGTCTGTAGTGCATAGTTCCCCCCTTTCATTTATGGTCAGTTCCCTCCTGGAGGTGAGCATGTACTGTGAGTTGTGCCCTTGTCACCCGCCATTTCTGAGTTGTTCCTCCTTTATTAGCACAAACTCACTGCCCCCTCCATCTCATCTTTGAGTTGTTCTTGTCAGTTTGGTCCCCGTAGATAATTCTGAAAAGAGTCTGCTGCTTTAGGCAGAGCCTTTCTGCTTGATCAGCTGAACTTCTGTTGGCTTTAAGGAAGGTTTCAGAGGGTATTTGGGGTTTGAAGTTTAAAGCATCTCTCAGGGCTGTAGTTTCAAGGTTCATCCATCCTCCATAGCTTCTGGAAAGCTGGAATTCATGGGCATTTGAAATTCTGATTTTCATTTTCTCTCCTTGAACAAAATTCTTCTATCAAATCTTTGATCATTGCCAGTAAGATAGCTGGCACCATCCAGTTATTCTTAGTTCAAATGCATTTAATTCTGTGATCCTAAAAAAAAAATAACAACGATCAAACAAAACCTTGTAAATAGATGATGTCTCCATTATGAAGATGAAGGTGTCTGATCCCAGAAGTTAGCTGACTTGCTCAAGGTCACAAGGGTTATAAATGAAGGAGCTTAGGTTTAAACCTACCTTGCTTGATCGTACGTCCAGTGATCTCTCCTTCACCAGACTCTTTGAATAGTCATCCTCCGGTGACCTACGGAAAATATTAACAAGAATCCCTGCCGCACTCAGTTGTTGTTGCCAGCCCCTTCATTCTTCCGTGCCGACTCCTGGATTCCAGAACTCTAACTTGGTGGGAACCGGGAATGGACCTTGCCTGTGAGAAATGGGACACTATTAACGATTGTGCTCTCTTAGCCAGGGTGAGTTCTGTTCAGCTTTTATGTATGGAGGCTCACTCTCCCAGTAATCCAGGGCAACTGGTCTCCTACTCATTTTGTTGTGGATACTGCGTGCCAGTGAGTCAACCCCAACTCGCCATGGGCTGCTGTGGCAGGTGGAACGTTCCCATAATGGTTCCCGTGCTGAAATCGCCACAGAAGCAGACGGTCAGGTCTTTGTTCCCGTAGAGCTGGTGGGCAGGTTAGAGACGTCGACCTCTGGATTGGCAAGCCCACTGTTTAACCACTGTGCCACCAGGGCCCAGGGGCTCATTTTACAGAGGAGCATATTTAGGCCCAGTGAGCCATGACTTCTGAGTTTAACAAGTGCTTCTTCAAGAGCTAGGGAAACAGGCGTCACATGTGTCTTTCGTAGCCTGCACACCCAGCCTGAGAAGCCGTGGCAAGTACAGCTGAGTGCTGTTCATATTATTGGTAATTGTTTATAAATTGACTTTTTTTTCTAATTGCAAGAAAGGCCTCATAGGTGCTTTAAACATCTTGGGGAAGCATGCAGTATGAATAGTTCTTATTCAGGGGAACCCAAATTGGAAAAGGAAAAGAAATAAACAAAATTCCTTACTGATTTCTTCCCTGGTCTCCACAATTCTGGAATGGTTTAATAGTAGGCCCAAAGCAACTCCCACAGGCCCATCTACAAGCTTCTGCCCTTGACCAGGTGTACAGTGAGGTCATACTCAAGCTTTCAGAGAGAGATGGAGAGATTATCGGCATTAGGAGTGGAAACAGAAGCCACCTTCAAAGGGAGCTCTGTGCATGTTGGGAAGGGTTTGCTTGGTATGCAGTCTGCTTTCCAGTGTCTTTGGATCTATTTCTGGCAGCGGCTGCTAACTCTACGAAAAAGAATGAAGTAGATCAAGAAGGCGCTCCTCATTTAGACTAGTTTAAAACTATATTTTCCCAATTTAAAAATACTCTTCTGGTCATTGCAGAATTTGCCTGTGTTACCACATTCTGGCCAACCTTTTGATCTTTTTCTGTGCTTCAGACTTAAGGTGCTAGGCTGCTAATATCAGTGGCCGGCTTGCTTGGGCTTCTGTAGATCCCGTTAGTTGAGCCTCCACTTAACACTGGCCTTGGCCCTGTAATTGACACTAGAAACCGTGGATGCTCTTTCTTGTTTGTTTATAGTCTTGGACCCCAAGATTAATGTTCTCTTGTCCATGTGCCTATTTTTAGCCGGGACTTTTATCCAACATCATGACCTTGCCCAGATTCTTGGTTCTGGCAGTCTTTCTGTCTGGCTTGTCATCTCCCTGTCCGAATCTCTGGAGTTATAAGGCTCCCTAAAAGGGAAGTTATTAAATGCATTCCTGTTTGAAAAGAGCAGTTACCAAATCTTATCTCTATAATTCACCATTATTCCTTCTTTATTTTGGGGGGGATGCTGTTCTTTTATTGCGCTAAAACTTTCATACACTCAAAATTTGTTGAATAATTCATGTATTAACTTGATTGATAATGCATATTTTTCACTAAGTTAGCTAAAATGTATTGAATATTTACTGTATATTAAAGTGATGTCAACAGGTTGGAGAAATAGTCCATAAGCCTATAGTATTGAAGGTTCAATCTATTAGTCTACATACCCCCTCAAGCTTTTTGGGGTCCACTGTATTTTGGGTACTTTGCTTAGCCCTGTGGTGGGATTCTCTACCCTAGCTACTAACAAATGACTGAAGAGATAGAGATACAGAGAAATACTATAGGAGTGCTAGTCCTTGTAATTTATGCTACCCAAATCTGGTAGTTTTGATGTACATAATGGTAATAATTTACATTTATTAAATGCCTCCTACATATTAGACATTTTTCTAAGCATTTTATATGTTTTGTTTCATTTAGTTTTTACGTAAGGACAGACTTTATAAGCCCTATTTTGTACTTCAGGAAACTAAGACCCGTGTGTGTGTGTGTGTATTTTTTGACCCCTCAATATTAAAGTGATTTGCCCATGACCATGCAACTAGTAACTATGGACTTGGGATGTGAACCTGGTTAATATTGTGTCCCACCTCTGCTCTGGTTACTGGGGGCATCGCGGTGATGTGGGGGGCTGTTAATGGCAAGCTCAGCAGTTCGAAAGCACCAGCTTCTCCCAGGGAGAAGGTCAGGCTTGCTACTCCTGTCAAGCATTCTCCCCCACTTTTTTCACGTGCTTAACCAGTTTACAATCTTGTTTTCCAGGGGCAGAGTTATCCGGGCACGTTATCTCCATGGCCGCCTCTACCCTTGCTACCTTGGCCATCTCCATCACCGGGTATGAGTCAAGCGGTGAAGACCAGCCTTCGCCTCAGCCTGCAGGTGACTGACATTATGAAGGAATGTCTCCAGCGTCATTCTGGACGATGCAATATAACGCCTGAATATACAATTTAAGAAAGACCCTAAAACCCCAGATGCTAACTGACCCTTGCCCTTCATTTTCTCTTTCTCTGATTTCTGGTTGTACATTTTATCCCCTCTTTTCTTTGCTCTCGTGCCACTTTTTGAATACCTGGACTTACTTTGTGTTTGGGGCTTCTGATCTTGGTTCTTGTTACCTTCATTCCTTTCTTTTAAATTGCTTACTCTGTCTCTCTCGGGTTCCTTTGGTTGCTCTCTCACATACCCGTCTCCACATTCTCCTCTCACTTCGGTTTCTCCTACTGATCTCTCCATCGACAGCTCTTGTTCACCTCTCCCTCGTTTTCTCTCGGCCTACTTCTTCACGTTGCTTTTGTTCCCTTTCCACCAATTCTCTTCCGGCTCGTTTCCAGCCTCTAGATAGCCGTTTTTCTGGCATGACTTGTTTTTCTTCTAAAAGTTTTGATTGGCCTGCCTCATGCTATTAACAGATCGACCGTGTTCCCTGGAGCAGACCTCACACGTGTTCAGAGTCTCTATTCCACGTGGCCTGGATGCAGAGGCCTTGCCTCTGCCAGCATTAGTCACACGTGCACGTAGAGTTCAGCAGTGTACAAGGCCGTCCTGCCTGTTCCACAGGCATTGGGAACCAGGGAATCTGCTGCACTCTTCTTGAGGAGCTGCCTGGAGGAAGGTCAAAAAGGAGGCTAAGAAAAAGACATGGGGTAGTAGGAATACTTAGTTTTCTTGCGCATAAAATTATGCTTCTAAAAGTAAAAAGGGCATAATGTTCTGATTATGGACTTATTCTTCCCAGCATCTGCCATCCTTGCCTGCATGAAATTCTCAAATTAGACACTCAGAGAGTAAAGTCAAGCAGGGTATGACAACTGTAGCTTGGGGCTAAAGCCCCAAACCTTTGGGCAGAATGGTAGCCCCAGAGGAGGGGGACTCTCGCCAGGGTGCTAGTTATGTCAGTGAAAAGCATTTAGGAAACATTATGATACAGCATGAGTATGATACAGAGGACTACTATGCAGTCTCTTATGAAAGTTAACAAATAACGGAGAAATTGTTTATTCAACAAATATTTCGTGAGGACCTGCTGTATATGAGATCCTGTTCTCTGTGTCAGGAATACAGTAGCGAGGGAGAGCAGGACAGACAAGGTTTTCTTAATGCGTATGGAAGGGAGAAAGTGAAAAAAGGTAAATAGGAAATGATGTGACAATAGAAAACTCTGCTTTGTAAAAGAACCACCAACATCTCCCCTCCTATGTGGAGCAAAAGAGACCAGCGCTGCTGGTTAGATGGGGACAGGTGGGACCCATAAGACAATGGCCCTCAGTCACCCTTCAGGTCTGGAACGAGACAGAAATCCCTCCTGTGTCGAGCATTCAACTATTTAAGATGAAAAGGGCAGCGTTTACCCAAGGACACAGTTCAGAGGGCGAGGGAAGGAGGAGGTATGGAAACAGGGAATGCAGTGAGGAAGGAGGATAAATGATGGTACATTGAAAGAATTACATTGCATGTATTGAAACGAAATGTGTATGAGTTGTTTAATATAAAGCTGATGCCATGCTGTGTAACCTTGGTATCTGTTAATACATAAAAAACCTGTAACTCCTATGGCAATATTTCCAGCAAATAATACCCTGTTTCCCTGAAAATAAGACAGTGTCTTATATTAATTTTTGCTCCCAAAGATGTGCTAGGTCTTATTTTCAGGGTCCTATTTTTCCATGAAGAAGAATATGGTACACACTTATTGTTGAACCCAAAAAAAGGACATTTATTACCTGTATACGGTACGGTAGCAGTTGTCATCACAAACCAGCATAACCAGACAAACTGTGAATCCTACAGTATCAAGAATTTCTTGTTACTACCATTATTTCCATGTACAACAATCTATGGTACATTTACACATTTATTAAATGACAGTCATGTCATCATCTTCTGGACCATCATCATAACACTCCAAACCCTTATTTTCGGGGAAACAGGGTAATACACTGCTATAGTACAGTATAACAATATGAGAACACAATGATTTATGTGAAATAATTCTTTTAGTATAATTTCTCTTTGAGAACTTATCAGTCCCAACAATCTATCATTATTTTATAGCACATTCAAAGAAGAAGATATTTGAAAGCCTGGGTTGATCCTCTTGTCAGCGCAGTTGATTACACTTTAGGTGAAATTGACACAGGAAGGCCATTCTCTATCAGAGTAGATATAAACCTCGTTTTGTTAACATGCACACTCTTTCTTTCAAAAAATAGTGCACATGCACAGTCATAAAAACCAAAAGCAAACTTGAACAGTATTAAGGAAGTAAGGCAAAAAGTAAAGCAGACGTCCTCAAACTACGGCCCGCTGAGGCCATTTATCTGGCCCGCCGGGTGTTTTTGCCCCGTTTTGTTTTTTTTACTTCAAAATAACATATGTGCAGTGTGCATAGGAATTTGTTCATAGTTTGTTTTTTTTAAAACTATCGTCCGGCCCTCCAATGGGCCTGAGGGACAGTGAACTGGCCCCCCTGTTTAAAAAGTTTGAGGACCCCTGCAGTAAAGCATTTTCTTGTACTGCAACCCTAAGCCAAAACACCCAGACCTACTACCAAAGAGTCCATTTTAACTCTTAGTGATCCTGTGCAGGGCCTCTGGGACTGTAAATTATTGCAGGAGCAGACCTAGCCTCATCTGCTGGTAGGTTTGAACCACTGACCTTGTGTTTAGCAGCCCAATACATAACCCACAACACCTCTAATTCTAGTCCCTCAAAAGAAAAAAGCACCCCTCACATTTAAGCATTGTCTGTAGTGTAATTCTCCATGTATTTTCAGTACAAATGCATATATCCTTTTTTATTGTGTAACCCAATAGAATCAACATGCATACTACCAAGTTCATTTTGAAGGCTTTATAATACTTACTGGTAACCTTTGTGGTTTGTTTCATATTAATAGGGCATGTGATTTTTTTTTTCTTTCCCACTTCAGAAACCGCGGACAGGGGAGACCCCCCTCCACCTGTTTCCTCATCTTCTTCAGCATCCACCCCTTCACCCACGCTGGGCAGAGCAAAAGCCGAAATTGGAACCTTTCTCAGGAAGAAGAAAACCAGCGACATCTACTTTGTGTGCCTCGTCTGGGCTTTCACTGCTGTCCAGCTCTGGTCGAACCTGTGGATCGTGCAGTTACTGCCCGTGCCCATTGCAGGTCCTCTTCGGCCCTGGTCCTGTCTGTCCCTGAGGGTTACATGCAGGTGTCCACTATTGAACGCCTTTACCCTGCTTCTAAACGTCTTCACCTTACATTTAAATCATACTGTTTCGGAATTGTATCACTTTGATCAGTCTGACTTTTTCATGGCTAAGGTCAAGTGTATGTTTGTTCATAACTGACCAATGAGGTTGATAACTCCACACAGAGAGTTATCTAACAGTTGAGCCAACTATGGTTCTCTGGAAGAAAATGTAACAAATCTGAGTTTTTAATTGAGTTTTTTTTTTTAAAAAGGTTTTTAAATTTTATTTATTTTTAATTGAGTTTTGAGAGCTACTCTTAGCGAAGTCCATTTTACATTTCACTTTTCTTGTTTTAAATTGTGATAAAGGATATGTAACAAAGATTGCTACTTTAATGGTTTTTAAATGTAAAATTCAATGGTGTTAATTAGATTCTCAATGCTGTGCTGTTATCAGACTACTATCTATTTTAAAACTTTTTCAGCACCTCAAATACAATCTGTACTTATTAAGTCAAAACTCCCTATTCAGTTATAATTAAGCAAATCATAGTGAAAATACTGTGGCCATTTTTCCGTCTAAGGTACTTATAGAAATGCTTAGTGAAATTTTGTTTCAGTAGTTCTTCTAGATTCTTCCACACATTTTTAGTTTTGCCAGATGATTTATATTTGCAAATCATGGGTCAGTTGCTGTAGGCCTCTTTCTTTTCTTCTTCATATTATTGGGGGCTTGTGCAACTCATCACAATCCATACATCCATCCCTTGTATCAAGCACATTTGTACATTTGTTGCCATCATCATTTTCAAAACATTTTCTTCCTGTTTGAGCCCTTGGTATCAGCTTCTCGGTCCCTTTCTTTTAAGTCTGTTTGTTGGGGTTACGTGTGCCGGAGCCCTATCCTCAGCCTCGTCCATCAGAGGAATTGACATGACCTTGGAAGACGGGGCTGTGAGCACTAGAGCGTCCTCCAGATACTTGACAGCTGTCAAAATACTGTGGTTTATTCTAGAAACCAGGAGTTTCCCCAGGCTCAGACTAGTAAGGTTTTTCCTAGGGACTTGAGTTGATTCGTCTGTCAAAATGGTAAGCTGTGAACTACTAGTGAGGTTACGAAGCAGGGGATAATACAGGAATCCCTGGAGTTAGAGAAATTTTAATGGATGGGATCAGTTTCCTAGGGTCTTGTCTGCAAGCCATGCCACACATCAGAAACACATCCCTCTGGCTCCATGACATTTCTCCATTGGCTGAATGACTGCTCGAAAAGCCATAGCGCTACCCAGCTCTGGAGAGTGCCGTTCTACTGCAGTGTGTAACAGTGTTTCCTTGAGTTGTGCGCACTCAGCCTGAGGGACCAGTCAAGGTAGCTCTCCTCACACTGCACTGTTTCTCTGCTGCATTTGGCAGAAGGCTCAGGTGTGTGAGTTTAGAGCAGCATGGAGCAGTAAGAACAACTGATGAAAACAGTATCCGGCAGTGGTACAGTATCACAGTGCTTCTCTGGTCATATACCAGCCACCTAAGAGTAGCTACAATAGCTGTAGAGAATAGGAAATGTCAGGCTTGGTATTCATTATACTCCATGGGGGAGAAGGCCAAGATGGGCAGGTGGAGATGGTATGACAAGTTCCTGGCACAATTTCATCTACTGGAAATATTTTGAACTCCTCCCACCCCCCAGCCCACCCCCAAACACACGTGTACACATGTACTTTACATTCATCTCTATTTTTAATACTGATTACACTGGTTTATAAGTTCACATGAAATGATCTTTATTCATGATTATGAAAGGACTTTATTCAGGTTCTAACCATCTAATCTGTATTTTTATTCCTGTATATGTATTTTTTATCTTCTTTATAGTCTGGATACTCAAAAAGCTTGTTATCCACTTTGGAGTTGTGAACTTCCTGGAGAAACGCTGCTACGGGTGGTGGCAGGTTATAGAGCACTTTCTAAAGGAGCGGCAGGAAGCGCTAGCACCTTGGCCAATCATCGGGCTTGGAAAATTCCTGCTAAAAGTTGATAGCAAGGTATTGTATTTTAAGAGCCTGGACCGCGTTAATGGGACTAACAGATTTCATCCGTTGAAATACTCCACTTCATGTTACATAGTGTTTATAATTGCTGATAACACATTTCATATCTAATTCTGTAGTGTAACTCTTTTCTCCCTCATTTTCTCTGTTTCCTTTTTGCTGTTGTTTATAGTGAAATTCTGAAGTTTGAATTACGGTCTACATAAAGATAAGATTTTGTTTAAATAACTATGAAGTGTTTTCCTCCCCACTGAAAAATAGGGGGAAAGCCTTTTGTGGAAACTTTAATTCAACTTCCTTGTTTTATAAGGACCAAATTGAAATATGGAGAGGTTGAGTAGCTGGCAAAGCCCTTTCACCAGGTATTCAGTGAATGTATTTGGAGTTTATCCCACGCGTCATATATTATGCTGGAATCTAGGAAAAGCAAGTGTAGAAAGAAGTTTAGCGTCAGAAGGTCAGTAGATGTAGTTCAGTTTCTGATTCCCACCAAGAGACAGCATTGAGTATAGTTCAGAGGCAGTGATGAGATTCAGAGACTCGGTGGTTAAGGGCATGGACCGTGAGTCCAGAATCTGATTTCAGGTCTCTGTCGTACTTACTTGCCATGTGGCCTTGGTCAAGTTTCTTAACCTTTTATGCCTTGGTTTTCTTTTGAATAAATGCATATAATGGCACCTACCTCCTACACTGGTTGTTGAGGTAAAATGAGTTAATAGATATAAAATGCCTAGGTTAGTGCCTGGTGTACTGTAAGCTCTATATAAGCATTGATTTATTTGCCTAGGGAAAATATTTACAGGATATGGTGGCAGTACAAGAAATGATTGTGATTAGTGGTAGGAGAGGGAAGGTTTTATAGAGGAGGTGATACAGGAGCAAGTCTTAATGCACGAGCAGGAGTTCATTAGACAGAGCAGAAAGCGCTGGTAGAAGGAACAGTTTAAAGGGCACAGACTCTCGTACAGGCTGAGTTTTTAGGGAACACCAGGTAAACAGGCCCGGGTGGAGCATCGGAGGTAAAGCTGACAAGTTAGGAGAGACTGGATCCAGAAAGTCTTTTGGTGCACTGTGCTGAGCACGTTGATTTCACCCCAAAGGCTGGCAACTGTACCCTCAACAGTTCCACCATGACTTCAGAACAAAAGAGGCGATTAACAACTAAAACCTGTCTCCCTCGTTCCCGTGTCTTGTACTGAGAATGCTTCATTTAGGAGAATCCAGCAGGTGAAGTTTTGGGAACATAGAAAGTACTCGTTAAGGAGGCCCAAACCTAAACCAAACCCACTGCAGTTGAGTCAGTTCTAACTCACAGCGACCCTAGAGCAGAGTAAAACAGCTCTGTAGAGTTTTTAAGGCCCCATCTTTGCAGAAGCTGACTGCCACATAGTTCTCCCATTGAGCCACCAGTGGGTTCGAATCCCCCACCTTTTGGCTAGCAGGTGAGCACTTAAACACTGCACCATCAGGGGTCCTTGTTATGGAGGCAGTCTTGTAGAAATTTGTTATTTACATCATAATAGAAATTTGTTATTTACATCATAATAAGTATGCACGGCAGTCTGTGCTGTTGAAGGAAGACAGTAAAATAAAGGAGACCACTATTTTCCACTGAATACAACATACTTAACAGAATAAATGGCAATCACAAACTAAATACTCAATTGTAGTTGATGCCAGAATGATGCTTTCTCTGTGGTCATTAGGTGCTGTGGAATCAGCTGTGCCTCATCGTGAGCCTACGTCTAGCAGAAGCTAGCACTGCCCGGTTCTCACCATCCTCACACTATGGTGCAGTTATTTATGACAATGTAGTTGAGTCAATGCCGTTGGGGGGGTGGCGGGGAGACCTTCATTGTTGTGTTACATTTTAATTGGTTAGATCGGTGTTCCTAAAATGATCCATGTTTAGGAGGTTATTTGAAGTATACTTTGCGTGTAGAGTACACACGTGTACTGTAAACATGCCTAGAGAGCACTTTAGGGGAAGTTCTGCAGAGACCGTTAGGGTCACTCTGAAATAATTCGTTTTAAGACTTTTTCGTATGACTGATCTTTAAAGTATGTGCTTGCCGCTCAGCACGAAGAACATTACAGTGTTAAGTATTAAGGAGGAGCTTGAGGTAACGTACGTAAGGCAGAGCAGAAGATTTAAACTGCAAAACTGTGCATAAAAATTGGGATGGAAGGAAATGAACCAAATATTCACAGATTGTTATCTATTTTTTTTTGGCAAGTATTCACTGTTCCTAATAAGTGTGGAAACTGTTCAAAATAAGTCTGGAAATAGTTTTCTCTTTTGATAAATGTGCAATAATGATATGATAATCTACAAGGGTCACTGAAAATTGTGCGGATATGAATTAATTTATACAGCAACTAAAATCCTTTTGGTCCACAATATGTGGAAGGGTTTCAACAATTTTTATATTTTCAACATTGTATCTTTGGAATTTGCTTGACTATTTAAACCTACAAGTCTGCAAGTGATTTTGTGTAATTTCATTGTTAATGTACCAGCAAGGCTGGTGGTTATCATCATTTCAAACTGAGTATGTGGTAGAGGAGAACTGCTTTGTCCTGATTAGAAAACCGTGCACTGCAGTTTTGTTTGTGGCCTGTCTTTACTCTGGAATAATGTCCTCCCGTGCTGTCAGCGACTCTTTTCTTTCCATACTGTTATTGCATTCTCTAATGATATCCCACTGTTCTCTTCTCTTCCTCACCTCTCCCCCATCCTCAAGCTCTGGCACTGGCTAAATAAGAAGGTAAATGAACGTGGACGTTGGTATTTACTGCGGAACTCTGTCCTGTTTCCCCTGCATCTCCCTGCTCACCCAGTGTTTCTGTCCAAATGTTAAAATCAGTTTTTGCTTCTAAGTTCTACTTGTAAGCTATGGAAGGTCGTGAAGCCTGACTACTATCACATTAGCGCTTACAACTCAGTGGAAACTCAGCCACGCCATTTAGGAGAGGACGGCATCTCCTTGCCCAGGTGTTTGTAAGCAGTACTGTCTCTCAGCGCTTTTGCCCACTCTGAGTGATTGCCATTCTGCTTCCCCTGTCATGTCGCTCAGCTCTTGTCGAGGCTCTTGGCTGTGCGAGAGCACATTAGATAGTGGTTGCTGAAAAGGAAAGAAAATATTTCCATGTCACTTTTTCTTTTATGACACCCACAGGAATTTTAAAAAAGATCAATCTGAATTATTCATGTAATTCCCTTGGCTAATTTTATATATTGTCTCTTTCTAACTAGTAATCTACCATTTTATTTTTAATTAAAAAAAATTGAAGTGATGATCTATAGCATCTATTTAGTGTATTTCCCTAAATGTGAGCTTGTAAATACTTCACAGGATTGACATGGAATTATTTCTTGTAGCTTTCTAATAACATTAATAAAGGCTAATCTAGATGTATTAGTAATGTTATACTTATGTTGTAGACTTCCTGGGAACAAGATTTTTACTTAATTTAATCTACTCCCTAGGACAGATAGATATAACACTGTGTAGAATATTTTTCAACACAAGAAAAGTGTATAATTCTTTAGTGCAAGTTTTTTAATAGTCTTTTTAAAATGACCTGAA